GGGGGCACTACTAAGCCACAGCACAGAAGTATAGGAGTGGATATGGGGAGCAGCCAGGAGCCCAGGGCTAGCGGGGACGGGTTCTCCGCTCATCTCTTAGTGTCTCTGGGGGCCTTCTCAGCCCAGGATGTGGCCCTTGCTGCTCTGCCAAGGGGAAGCGAGTTCTGGCTGGAGCCCGGCCCTGGGAGTAGGGTAGCGGAGGTTGGGACACAGAGCCTGGGGGGTGGGGGGCAAGCAACACCTTCCTGATCATGGCCTACTCTGGGAAGAGCAGAGTGCCTCAGAGCAGTGTTCCTCCGGCCCGGGTGTGGGGCAGGCACAGTCTGGGCAGCCCCAGAGCACGGTTGGGTCCCAGCTGGTCCATGCCTCCTGCCTGGGGTGCGGGGTGCTCAGAGCAGCAGGGCAGGACCCAATGATAAGATGAGAGACTTTAACATGGAGGGAGGGGGTCCATGCTTTAATTGAGTAAATATGCTATATAAAACTCAGAATATGTATGTCAATCCTACCACCATGTCAAATAGGCTAGTTTTAAATACCATTACATATTGCCCATAATGAGCACAAAACATACCAAAATGATGTACCCAGGATTGTTTGTATTAACAGTAAACAGCATTGTCCTGTGAGGTTCCGAGACAGAGCCAGACCTGCTTTGACATTAGAGTATGAAATATACTTCAGAAATCGGGGTTTGAATGAATGGTGTCAAGTGCATTCTTCTGCTTAAAGCAAACAATTATTTATTCTACCAATTACAAATGCAAGGTGCTACCCCTCAGACAGAATAATCAAAAATACAACTACAAAATGGGTGACACCTGGATGGATGTTAGCACTACAGAGAAGGATCTGGGAGTCTTGGTAGATCACAGACTCAGTATGAGTCTGCAGTGTGATGTAGCTGCACAAAAGACGAATGCTGTTTTGGATGCATCAAAAGAAACATTAGATGCAAAACACAGGAAGTGATAGTACCTTTCTACTTGGCACTGGTTAGGCCTCATCTAGAGTACTGTGTGCAGTTTTGGACTCCACATTTTAAGAAGGACTTGGAGAAGTTGCAGCAGGCAACAAAAATGATGAGGTACTTGGAAGGCAAGCTGGAGACGTTGAAGGAGCTAGGCATATTCAGCTTACAGAAAAGGTACTTAAGAGGGAATATGAAGTCTTCAAATACTTGAAAGAGCTGCCATAAAGAAAAGGAAAAACACATTTTTCTCTTGGTGCAGAGAGAAGCATGTGGACTAACGGCTTGAAGTTGCAGCAAAGTAGGTTTAGATTGGACATCCAGAAAACATTGCTTTAACATTGAAGAAAGAATGAGGCAGAAAAATAGAATGTCTATGGAAGTTGGGCACTCTCCATCACTGGAGTGTTCAAGAAGAGGTTGGACACACATTGATCAGGGATGATCTATATGTGTAGCCATATCTGTGCTGTACCAAGGGTATTTCCCATCCTTTTGAGCTTTGCTGGTTACTACATGGGGCTGGAAGGGAATTTTTCCCCTCCTGCTGCTATAGTTTCCTCAGAAACATTGAGTGTTGGCTGCAGTCGATGCTGGGGATTTTGACTGGGGTGTGCTAGTGCTCCTTCTGGGACTTGACGTTGGATATTCCTGCTAGAGGGTATTTCCCCTCGTCTCAGAGTCAGATTGATCACTATATTTGAGGTTAGAAAGAATGGTCAGATTGGTACAAACTTGTGTTTTTTTGCATTTCTCTGTAGTGGGTGGTGTGGCCCTCTTCCTGGGATCTCTCAACCATATTTAAACAACTTTTCCAGTACTGCAGTGGTCTCCCTGCTTTACCTATGGCAGATTAGGGTGTTGTGTCTTGTGTCAGCATTGACTGTAGTTTTCTTGAGAGGTTAGCCAATGGATTTGTATGGGATGGTTTGGATAGGGATGATCCTACCTGTGGCAGGTGGTTGAACTAAATAACTTCTAGAGGTCCCTTCCAGCCCTTCTCTTCTGTTTCTATAAAATAATTCCTTTATATATATATCCATAATAAATGCATTTTAACTTTAAAATGAGTGAATGACAATATCTATAAGTTTCTATTTCACTACATATCTAAAGTATGCACTTGCTTTTAAGCATGTGCGCAATCCATTCAGGGTCAACAGAGCTATTTATGTATCTGTCTTGTTTAAATGCTTTGTTCTGGGCCTCAGGTTTTGATTTGTTCACACTCTTAAACTATACCAATCCTGTTCAGCAGTCACAACCAATGTTAACCAATATTTACCTCCAAAAGCTAATGCAGACCAAGCCATTTGCTTCATTCTTAGAACAGAAAGTATCATGGTGAAGAGTTAACAAAAAGTGATGTTTTAACTTCTATTGCAGAATTTTCCTACTTACAAACAAGTTAGATAAGTTCTATTGCTATCTTCCACCTTTGCTATTGTAATAGCTTTATCTTCCCCTACAAACTTCAGGGATGTGCACACTTTTCACATCAGAACACTAGTTCCCTCAGTCCAGCTAACCTGTACCTAGAGTAGTGTCAGGGCTTCTATAAGTTGTCCTGAGTGAATGGGAATTACATACTGTTTTCACCCACAACCTGCCCAGTAACATACTCCACCTACAGTTTTCTGCTATGTCGTGTGAATCCACAGTGTCCTGTCAGCTGGGGATCTGGCCAGTCCCTTTGTACCACTGGAATTGCCGGTCAGGATCTGATCCTAGGCTGTTTGGAAAGGTTTATGAGAATAGACTGGAGTAGGAAACAAAAAGGAGGCAAGAGCAAGTGAGGTGGAAGAGCTGTTAATCAAAAATTTGAACTTTTTTTCCTAGTGATGTTGTGCGACTGGAGAAACCTGATCTTGAGAATCAAAGAACACAGCTCATTGTACGGATCAATTCTGATAAAAATCAACTGAAAGCCATTGAAGACAAAATTCTGAAAATGTTGTTTACTTCTCAGGGAAACATATTGGACAATGAAGAACTCATCAACACACTGCAGGAATCAAAGGCAGGAGACATAATTACAATGCCTTGTCGTAATTTAAAAATGACGTATCTAACTGTGTAGAAAGTTCCAGAGGAAATGGACTGTCACATTTGTGTTTCCTCTTTATAGATTTACTTCTACAGATTGGAATAGCAGACCAACCTTTTAAAACCCAGCTCTATTTAATACAGTTAGACTAGCTTAGGGGGTCACAAGTCCCAATATAACCCCATTTTGAAAGTCCAAATTAATTACTTTCATTCATTTCTAATCAATGGATTTTGTTAATGTTTGGAAAACATTTTAATATTGTGGATGAGAGAGGCAGCATATGCTAAGGCTGTGTGAAGCTTCGGTCCCTGATTCGATTCAGCGGAGATTCGGCCCAATTAGGTGGCCAAATCTCCAAATCCGAATCAAATCAGAGGACCCTTTAATCTCTCCAAATCAAACTGGAACCCTCCAAATTGTTTCGGAGAGATTTGGAAAGATTCAGTGATTTGGACATAGAGACAGATTTAAATGTTTCTTCTACATACCTCTAGGTAGCAGGGACTTGTGAATGCTGCAGTGCTGGGGTGCATGAAGTGTCCCACAGAAGCACAGGGGGCTCCCCAGTGTGCTCGGCAGCAGACCCGGAAGTGGACCAGAAGCACTTCTGGTCCACTTTCGGGTCTGCTGGGGAGTGTGCTGGGGGGGGAGGGGCCCAGCGTGCTCTCTGGCAGCCCTGAAAGTGGACCAGAAGTACTTCCAATCCACTTCTGGGTTCGCACCAAGCACTTCTGGGAGGGCCCCCCACATTCCTGTGGGACACTTCATGCACCCCAACATTGCAGAGATCATGAACTGTGCCTGTTACCTCAAGGTATGTAGAAAAAACTTTTAAAGCTGTGTCTATGTCCGAATTGCTGATTCTCCAAATCAGCATCGAATTTCCAGATTCGGATTCGGCCGAATTGAATCAGAAACAGTGATCCGAATCAATGAATTGAATCACTGTCCCTGATTCGGGCCAAATCCAAATTTGAATCAAATAGGGCCCACTTTGCACATCTCTAGTTTATACCCCCTCCAAAAGTCCTGCTTGCTTGTTGCTCATATAAAAAATATTTTCCTACTGTAGCTGGCATTTAAAAAGTCAGCATTTGCCAAAATTTGCACAAATTGGTATACAAAATACCACAGTTTCTTCCAGGGAATAGATGTTAACTATGTGGGAAGTGTTGATAAAAAGCTAACACGGACTGGTAGCTACTCTAAATCTGACCCATGCTTTTCTTTTATTTAAACCTTCCATCGTAATAATTATTCAGTGGTTTCATTTTGGTCAATGAGGCTACATTCTGTCACACATGCTCATGCTGGCTTGTATTTTACTTCCCTGGGGTTAGTGGAATACACACCTAAATGCCCACCAACAAAGATAGGGCTATAGATTGTAGCCAAATGGGAATACCTGTAAAGAAGGATGCAATTTACTGTGAAATAAGGGATGAATATCTGGCTATAAAGCTTAAAATTCTTCATGTTGTCCTTAAAGTTGGCATTACAAAAGCTACCATCCAGTTTGCCAATTTTTGGCGCAGGTTTGGTTATCTCAGCTTGGTATGGAATGAGCCATTCAGAGGATGTGTCTATACAAGATGCTTCAAGCACCGTAGACTAATTCTACTGTGTGTTAGCGTGACTGGCAAAACCCACGCTAATGCACAGTAGAATTAGTCTACTGCACTTTAATTAGCATCACAAAAAAATGTGCACGGGCGCTAATGTGCAGTAGTGCTGATTATGGTGCATTAACTTTAGTAATTACAGGTACTAAACTTAAGGCACCATAATTATGGCACATTAATGAACATGTAGATGTGCCCAGAATGAACTACCATTTTGTTCTTAAAAGTGGTCTTTGTAGGTCAGGTCTGAGACAGACAGGAAAGTGGTGAATCTCTCAAAAGTTAATAAATTAAGCTGATACTATTAAAAGCCAGAAAATCAGACCCTGCAGTTACTTGTTATTTGCATTTAGAATTTTGGGGCAGACTTTTACAGGTACATGCAAATACTAAGCTTAGCATCTGGTCTTAATTTTCAGTATTCAGCGTTTAGACTATTATTCCAACATAAATTTAAGCAAGCCTTTTGTTTCCCATTCCCTCGAAATCCCCAGAACCACTCAGAGTAATGAGGTTGTCTTGGCTTGTGTACAGAGATGATGATGGTCTTTAGTTATTTTTCAGATATTCTAAACACATTTATACTTTCTCTTTTTTTCTGCTCAGAATTTTTAATGTAGAACGTCTCAGAATTTCCTTTTCTTTAGAGGTAGTACTTATGTTAAAAACCTATTTCCTGTTCTTGGGTGCAAACTCATACTGTTAATCAGCATAATTCACAAAATGCAGTTCAGTACCATTGATTGCTTTAAATACTGTAAACTATCAAAGGTACCATTTCTCCCAAAAGTATATAGTGTCTGGAATTATAGACAGAGGCATGCCTGGACCCAGAGCTTCCTACTTGCAGCAGATTAAAAAGAGAAATGAAGAACTTTTACAGAATGGTATGAAGTGACATTCATATGTCTTTGGAGCTCATGCAACCACTAGTGCTGTTATAGTGTTTCCAGCCCTCATTTTCAGAAATATCTTTCTCAAATACCTTTGAAAACATTTGTTCCAGGTTACCTCTGGTGCCATTAAAACAAGACTGAAAGAAGCAGAAACAACCGAGGAGAAGATAAATGCAGCACGTGAAAAATACCGCCCTGTTGCCACTCGTGGATCTGTCATGTACTTTGTAATTGCCAGCTTGTCAGAGATAGATCCTATGTATCAGTTTTCCTTAAAATATTTTAAACAGGTTGGTTTAATTTTTCTTTTAGGTAAGCATTGTTACTAAGATAAGCATAAAACAATTAAATGAATGTGTACAGATATGATTTTACAGTCACTATCTGAAACACTGGCAGCAAAAATATTAAGCCCCTATTCCAAAAGGAGGGTGTGTCATAAACCTCTGGTAATAGTGTAATAAGCATAAGCCAAACTAACTAAGGTGATGATGATTTATTACATTGAGAGAAAATCCATTGTTTCTCATTTGATTATGATAAGGTTAGAAAATTAGTAGTTACAAAACTCCCAAGCATCGTATCAAATATTGACTTTAGGCATATACCGGCATACTTACTTGTATCTAAGACAAAGTTCTTTCCCCAATTTAACATGGGGAAAAAAGTCTCTTGTTTTTTATTTGAGTACGAAATGATGAGGGGGCGGGTGTCTGCTGTGGCTCTGGCCCTGACATGTCAGAGCCAGAGCCACAGTCACAGCCAGAGCTGCTGTGTTTCCCTGCACCTGCCTCCTACAGTCTCTTGTCTTAAATTCAGAGTCATCATGGATTTTGGTAAATGTGGTACATTTACTAGTTTAAAGAAAAGCTGACTTTTTTCGAACGCTGTTGTTGCCACTGAAGTCAGCAGACTTAACTTACTGCTGAGCAGTAAACAGATCACTTTTTGCTTTGGCACTTAAGTAACCAAGTTTTATAATATTTGATATAAACAATTTTTAAAGGTCACACTAGAAATCTTCAGAAGAACCCAGATCTTGTTATTGTACTCATTTATTAAGCATGATGGTCATAAAAGGATGCAACTCTTTAACATTAACTTATTTTTCTAGTTTGATGGTTTTGCCATAGTGGGATGTAGAACATTGGTATCCTACAGAGCATTTCCCTGCAGTCCACAGCACCTTCTGTGTCATAGTAGTGAATAATTCCATGTCATAACGAAATCAGAGCATAGTACAGTGCGAAATCAGAACATAGTAGTCTCATATAGCTTATCCTCTTGTTCGCGTCATAATTCCATTAATTACTGCTGTTGTAGAAATGTGCAATTACCGGAAGGTTGAGACTACACACAGCCTATAAGAGAACTGCCAGTTTAAAAAGTAGCATACGATATGAACAGGTTTGAGAACTACATTTCTAGTCAGTTGTATGAATTACTTGAAGTATACCTATTATTAACTATTAATAACCAACTCATCTAAGCTATTATTTTTCCCCCTGCAGTTATTTAATACAACCATCGAGACATCTGAAAAGAATGATAATCTGCAGCAGCGCCTAGCAATACTGCTCAGTCAGACTCTGTATGCAACTTACATTAATGTATCTCGGGGCCTTTTTGCGGAACACAAACTCATCTACAGCTTTATGCTGTGTATTGAAATCATGCGACAGAGAGAAGAACTTACAGATGCAGAATGGAATTTTTTCCTCCGCGGAGCTGCTGGCTTAGACAAGGTGCACTTTGCGCAGATTTATGACAAACAAAACTCTAAATCATTCTAGATTTTTGATTGAAAAAAGTGATGAGTAGATAGTGAAAGGAAGCTGTCTGTGTGACTGGTGACTTATTCTTCCAACTTGCAAAACAGCTAATTCTTAGAAAATATTTGAGAGAATTCTTTTAGGTATTTTTCACTTATTGGCCCAATCCAGAAAAGCATTCTTATTCAGCACAGTACTTAATGCTAAAGGCTGTCAGTCATGCCTGTCAATGGGACATCAAATATGCATAAAGTTGAGTGTGTGCTTAACTGATATCCTGAAAAAAGCACTAAGGGGTAGCTTTTACATTAATATGTAACATTAATATGTAAGCATATGTTTGAATGCTTTTCTGAATGGAGTAATTATTAAATTGATTATTTTGCAGATGTCTTGCATTGAATAGTAAAATGTCTTCATTTTTTTTAATCTTTTTCCTTTTTTGTCTTGTATATTTTCACTGCTCCTTTTATCTGCCCAATAGGAACTGCCATCTAAGCCTAATGTTCCCTGGCTTGAAGACACCATGTGGTATATGTGCTGTGACTTAGAGGAAATGCTCCCATGTTTTAAAGGCCTTCAGAAGGAAATAGTTTCCACGCACATTTTTATTAAAATAGGTAATTTGATAAAAAATGTAGAATGTCTCTTAGAAAGGCCTGTTCCTTTACCCCATGCTTTCCTTTCAAAGAGTATCTTCTACATGGTTTCTGCTTGTATTTTATCTAATCTTTTTTTAACAACATCATCAATAGTGACTCCTTCAGAGGCAACTTATTCAACCTTTTAACACGCTTGTTATTGGTATAATGCCTTTTCTCCTTTTGTATAACTGTTTTTTTCCCCATTGCTCTCATTCCTGCCCTTACTGATTTGGAGGGAGTTTGCCACCACACCTCATTGCGTTGTATGGAGAGGAGGTCTCCTTCTCTTCCAAAGCTTCAAGATGGCTGTGGGGGTGAGGAGGTAGGGAGTAGATGTTCCTTTCTGCCTTGGTGGGGCAGCACAGTCTCCTTTTTTTTCCTTCTCACAGGAGCAGGAAAGAATCTCCTCCCTTCAGGAGCAGCAGAGAAGGCAGCTGGAGTTCTCTCTCTCTCTCTCTCGCTCTCTCTCCCCTTTGTTTTTTAAATTAAAGCTCAGGGCCTAACATCATTATGTGACCTCAGCAGTGGAAACTCTAGACATTGGGCTTACAGTATCTCTGCCTCAGTCTAGTCCTATAAATTTTATAGTCCAAGACAGTCCTGTAACAGGGCACATAGTCACCATGACTGTGTGCAAAGGGATTTGAGGCCAAAAGCATGAATAAATAAGCTGCTGCCTTTTAAATTTTTCATCTTCAATATCTTAATATTATGAATTATTTCTTCATGGCGAGTTATAAATTAATGACACTGCTAATAACTCTTTATCATTTTCAGGGTGTCTTGATGTTCACATTAACCCAGAAGCTTGGGAAGGCTATGATTCTGAGCTTTCATATCATTCAGGCCAAGTTGAAGAAGAAAAAAAGGAAGGCTTAACAAAAGGTCCCTGGGACACAAGGCTGAGCATATTTCAGAAACTAATTATTGTGAAATGTTTTATGGAAGAAAAGGTATGTTTTCCACTGAAATCCAACTGTGGAATAATTTTATTCCACTTGAAAGCTTGCAAGAATTTAATTTGTAGGATAGTTTGCTTTAAACTAAAGTGTGCTATTTGCCCATGAGCTCAGGAGGGGCTGAAGGATGTTTCCAAAGGAAGGAAACAGTAGACTGGCCTGCCTCTT